CCTGCTGGTCACGGAACTGGGCCGGACCAGCCCATAAACCGTTGACAGTCTGTCAGAATGCTGTAGCCTTGATGTAACAGACATTTCCTGTAAGCGTTGTTTAGCCAAATGACCATGTAAGATATTGGGTTGTTTACAGTACCAGCCTAACCACGTGACATTGAACAATGAAGAACCAAAAGAGAAGATGTGTGGAGAGGATAGGCAGAGGCAGTGGGACAATGTTATCAGATGCACCTCGCAGGGTGCAGTTTTTATTCCTCTCTCTGCTCGGTAAGATAGTTCTGAAAACACAGGAACAATCCTTAGAACTCCTTTTAGCACAACAGATGAAGAAGAAAGCAAGTTTCAGTATTAGCTCTGGAGAGATTATCCCTTTTCCAGAGTAAAGTCTTATTTTAGCTTTACCTCTCTGGCTGTGATTAGGCTAAAATATCTGAGACTTCATTCTAAAGAGAAAAAAATGTTTCTGCAGAAGCTAATGCCAATCAACCAAACCAAAAATTCTGCTATTGAATTTTGCCATTTGTAGCTAGGTCTCACCATTCCTGCAAAGCAGCCTTTTGCCATCCCTTGAAGTATTTCAAATATCCCAACACAATAAGTTTCACATGCATCCACTGTTTACTAATCTAATGTAATCTCTAATTAGTCAATTCTGCTATATTGGAAATTCAGTGTCCTGTGTGATTCCTGTTCATGTCGGTAGGAATTCTTTAATGATGGCACTGCTCACTGCTAGGTCATGTAATTTTTGTTTTTCTCTTTAGTTATTAGGGAAAAAAGATAAATACTTTTCTCCACTCAGTTGCTAAAATCTCCCTTTAGCTCTTTTAGGACATTTTGGTTTTAGATTCTGGATTTCTTGTGTTTCATTCCTACAGAGCAAAGAAGCCTCTCCACTTACAAGGCAACAATTATCGAAAACAAACAATCAAGCATTTGGGCCAACCTTCTCCCATCTAAGTACTTATGTTTTGTAAGTTCTGCGATGGGGAAATGCATCAGTGTCACCTGGGAACTCCTGCTCAGCCCATGCTGCCTTTCAGTTACAACCTGTCTGTTAGCAAATTCAAGCAGGGTTTGTACAGAGGGATGTGGGAAAGCTCACTAGACTTTTCAGCTGTAAGTAGCAGCTCTCAGGTGCAGATCTTAGAAATGGTAATTTCCTGACTAAAGGAGCTCATGCTTGCACGACAAGGACAAAACAACTGACTTGAGCAGCAAGACGTTGCTCTAATAAATGAACCACCTTTGCAAAGCAAGTTCTATTCGTGAAATAATTTATGGGAAAAAATGCAAAGTGACAGTGCAGTGTTTTTAGCTTGCAATAACTTCAGTGCAAGTGGGGTACTGTCACTGATGATCAAAAAGTGTGGGTATTAGAGGCTCTTTTTCAAAACTGCAATAAAAGCAACGAACTTCAAAGCTAAATTATGAGTTCATAAATTGTTGTTTAGAGCTTAATTATGCGTGCATAAGACTGTGAACATGAGGTAGATGGAAAGGGAATCCACCTGTCAGTCTATGAAACAGTCCTCAGGAGCTGACAAGGTTACCTATTTTACTGCCCTGACTATTTTTAAAAAGTCATATTAAATGCTTATGGATAAATGTATCATTGATAAATCATTTAGTGTCCTGTTAAATTGCAACAGCACCATGGAAATAACTGCTTTTAATAAGATTCTCAGGTTTCTGGGCTGTCTCCTAGTTGAAAGGGGAAACCTAACTTTTCCTGATATCTGATGTTACAGGTTCTCAAACTGATCCTGCTACGCAAAGAGTTCAGTTCCCAGGATCCCTCCCACTTGCCCTAGGTGAGTGCAATAGGATAGGACTAAATCTCTTCTTTGTTTGGATTGTTTCTGAAAGAACAGCACACCTTATTCTTGCCAGAGTTGCTTAAGATTTACTTTTAATTCCAAGATAAGGTTGGTGAGTAAGATAAGTTTATTCTAAGAGAAAATATTGAAGTGTAGGAGGGGATGTAAAGTACGTAATAAAAAAGCAGTTTAAAGTGATGCTTACCAAATAAGTTTTCCTTTCAGTTGCTTCATGCTCACAGATAAGGCAGATTTACTTTTTGGAATTTTCTTTTTCTGTCCCTTTGAACCAGATTGCCCCAGATAGTTTTCTAAGACATGTGGTCATTGCCACTCAGATCAGGATGGTTCCTTCTGTTCTGAACAGCGTGCATGTTCAGTCCTGATTTTAATTCCGTTTGGTTAGAAGTAGGAACTTCTCCTTGAGGGGTTTCTGAAGTTGGTCCTTATGTGTTCACCTGAGTTTGAATTTCTCTCTTTTGGAAGATTTTTGTTATCAGATCTTCAGGGTCCATTCGTGTTACTCGTCTCATTGCTTGCCATTCCTTTTACACTCTGTATAAAAGTTGCACCTGCTAACAGGATAGGTTTATTCCTGTAACACATAATGCCTGCTTCAATCAGCATTACCACTATCTCCTCTACACACAGCTTTGAAGCTCTTGCTCTGAAAGTTCCTCCCTTACTGCTTCTGACTCTGACACCAGAGCCAGCATAGCTTGAGGTACTTCCTCATTGCCAGCAGACTGCACAGTGGACAGAACCGGTGGTGTGTACAGAAATAGGGCTGTCAGCTGATGAATGGAAAGGTGGTACGGGGGATGCCGCCGCCTGGAACAGCCCAGTGCAATTAAACTTGTCACTGAGTCAGAGCCCAAATGTTTCTGCATTTGTTCCAGGACCCACCTGCTCTTCTCTTCCTTTGTCTGGCTTCAGTCATCAAGAAATTGTTGCCATATGTCCTACGAGGAAGCCTTCATTTTTCAGAGCAGCAGGACAGGGGAATTTTGCTGAGGTTAGAGACCTGAGAAGAAGTGATTCTGGAGCCTCACACCAGCCAGCCACTGAGCATGAAAGTACTTCACTGAGACTTAACTTTGCTAATTACATCTTGATGTCCCATCTGATAAGAGGCCCTCTGCAAGCATTTGTGCCTAGTCCAACACATATTCGTGAGAGGTCATTATAATAATGTAGTCCCCTCCACAACACACACAAATCCTTAATGAGTAACAGTTGGGCACAGCAGCAAGTAGAGTTTCTGAGAGCAACTTCAAGTCACGCACAAACTCAGATATATGTTCTCTCTCCATGATTCCAAGAACCAATATTTGTATTGACAGTAAATTTAACCTGTTTTTACAATATATCATATTTGTGGGGCATATTTGAAACAGGGCCATGAAAATGTAAGTAGCCCAAATGAAATGTTCCATCGTTTTTAGTAGCAGCTACCACTGTTTGAAGAGTGAGATATAACATATCTGCATATAACAAAGCCAGTTCATAACACTGGCTTGCTCTGCTCTTACAGAGATCAAAATATCATAACATCATTTCGTAACATTTTGCCTACACAGCTTTCATGTGGTGAGCAAATCTGCCTGACACATTACTTCTTGATTTACTTCATCCTCTTCTTAATTTTGACATTTTTATTTAGCCTTATGATTGTGTTTGCTTTTAATAAGGAGTAGTGAGCACTAAAGATTTCATAGCAACACTGGCTCTGTCTCCTCCTCTTGTTTAAATACAATTACAGCATTGAGAAAACAATGAAGAGCTTAACTGTTCTCAGTTTCCATTTGGAAGTACCATATTATAATGAAATTCCATGAGAAAAAAAAGGTAGAATAGCCAAAAAGTTTAAAAACACATCACTACTTTGTGAAACTAATCACCAGAACATGACAGCCATGCTAAAGGTACGGAAGCATCAGTGACTGTAGACATAATTTATAATTACAAGGAATATAAATCTTTAAGCTCTGGACTTCTAGTTCTTAAACTATTGCTAGCTGTTCTGTGGAAGAAACGTGTGTGCATGCCAGGTAGTTTGCTTTTCAGATTTTTTGCACTTTTTATGAACTACTTAGCTACCATCAGAGAGGACGTGAGAGCACTGACCTGATTCCCAGGCACAGTGAAGGTGCTTCATCTCTTCCTGACTACACCCATTTCTATTACAGAACTACTGTGACACAGTGGAGAAATACTGACTCTGAGATGCTGCAGTTCATAATGTCACAGGGGACTCCTGAAGCTGGATGGAGCACTGTTCCTGTCGTGCTCCAGTTGGGCGAATGCTATGAATCGTATGATGGATGGTTCTGGGGGTGCACTGCTGCTTTAAACAGGAAGCTCTTCTAGGATCATCCCAGCTCACAAATGAGGCCACTTCCTTAACAATACAATAACAGGAATTTGATCAGAAACTTCAAAATTTGATTCTAGAAGGTTGCTTTCATTCTTGCATTATCTCCAGTTACTAGTTATACAAGTTGTGCTTGTTTAAAAAAACAGGCTTTTCACATAGACAAATCTTGCTCTTTTATGATTGTTAAAATATCATCCTATTTTTGTCTTCGTTTTTTTTTTGCCTAGACCAGATTTACATTGCCAATATCACATATGATTCTGCAGGAAATACTTCTAAGAGCTTTTCTTATCCCTATGTGATACACCAGGAGAATAGGAGTTTTAGACACACGCTGTTCAGATACATGTGGCTCAAGAGGTAAGCCTCAGCCCTCCTTGTTTTCATTTGCTAACCTCTATACAGATACAAGAAGTACTACAGCAAAATATAACAGAATGCTCTATACTGCAGAACTAAATTACTATCCTTGTTTTTCACTGATAAGATTTGCTTTCAGGAGACCCAGGAAAGGTCGAGGGTAGGAAATCATCTCACCTAGTGAGTGCTGTGTCCAGTTCTGGGTTCCCCAGCACTAGAGAGGCACGCGCATAGTGGAGCAAGTTCTGTGAGAGAAAGGTGACCCAGAGCAGAGCATGTGTCATACAAGGAGAGGCCGAGGCAGCTGGAATTGTTTAGCTGGGAGGAGGGAAGGCTCAGAGAGATTTTATCTGTGTGTGTAAATACTAAAAGGAAGGTAGTAAAAGAACCAGCAGAACCAGCATCTTTTCAGTGCTGTCCAGTCAGAGGACAAGAGGCAATAGGGTGAACTGAAAGACAGGAAATTCCAATCACATAGAAAAAATACCCTTTTTGCAGTGACGGTAGCCAAACACTGAAGCATGTTTCCCAAAGGGGGTGAAGAGTCTTCTGCCCTGGGGATCCTCAAATTCCAACTGGACAAGGCACTGAGCAACCTTCTGTGCTTGTGCCAGGCTTAAGCAAGGTGCGGGTGGTGCTAGGTAATCTGATGGTGTCCCTTCTAGCCTCAGCTATTACTGTTCCATGTTTCAATCAAACTAGGGCAGCCTGAAAGTTTTCAGATAAAGTTTGTCCTTCACAAGTGGAGCCCATCACCCCAAGAAGCCAGGCACAGCCTCAAGTTATTGTTGCCCAAGAGTTTATAGTCATGAACACAGGATTTGTGCATACCAGAAGTGAAATGCACACGGACAAAGGCTTGAAGAGCAGACTTCAACAGTTCCCTTTGGCAGTCTATTCTAAAACACTACTAGATGACCTCCAAATGGAATTTCCAAGTGAAAAGAGACCTTTGACTGAAAAAAGTCACAAAATCCTCTCAAATTGCTGTTGAAGTCTGTTCATTCAAGGAACCTGCTGGGAAACACTATGATTCAACCATGCACAGAGTTGTGTTGTTAATATATTTGAAGAACGTGATTAAACTGCTAACTCTTAGAAATAGCTAATTGTGGCTTTTCTGTATATTGTGCAACAATGTCATTAGAGAAAGGGAAAATACATGGAGATGCTTCTCTCCACTCTTTCACTGAAACTTTTTTCAGAAATTAACTTACACTCCAGGCCTTTGGAATTGTCTGGCCTGGTGCCATAACTTGAGTAGTGCTATGGATAGAGCTCATGTCAGCTACTCCTTTCCTTGCCATGAAAAAAGAGTGTTTTTTTCCTAGCTGTGCTCAAACTTACTTTGGATTAAATTCTCTTTCCCTTTTTTTTTTTTTTTTACCCTTCATTTCCCCTCTCACCTCCTTATGGGTCATGGCACAGCACATACCTATAGGCACGCTGCACTTAAGCTTTAGGTTCTCTCTTGGATAAGAGATGCTGAAGCCTCTGTTCCTCTGTATGCTTCAGCAATTCAGACATTTCTCTTGGATCTACAGAGTAATCTATGCAGGCCTTAACGGAAATGCGACAACTTCCCTACATTATTCTGATAGACTCCAATTGTCTCTTTTTGGCCAATGTGAACTAATCTGTCCAGAAAAATTCCAAACACTATTCAGTAACAGATGGGCTCTTACACGCTTAAGAAAGAAGGTGAAGCTGGACCTGCATTTCTCCACCATGTGCTTGGTGACTTTTCTTCAAACTGTCTTATGGAAGAGGACTATCAGGGTCTCCAGCACGAAGGTTCTACATAAAGAATAAAAAGATATCCTTGTTCTAAAATTTTACACTGAGAGAAATGCCACAACCATCAGTTAAATTATTGAGTCCTGGCAAAGGTATGCAAATTGAGGAGGAGTAAAGCTGCATCACGTAAGATAAAAAACATTCACTATTCAGTCTTTGCAATGCATAACTATTTATCTCATGTACATGAAGCCTCCCGTAGATTATTAACAAAACTGTCACAATCTCATATATTAAATTGAGCAGCACTATGCAGTAGGAGTATATGTGTGTGTTTTATACCTGATGTGAAAAAGCCTGTTGACAGATACGCTTGTTTTGAAGGGATTATATGGTGTATGCTCTTTAATTGCACAATTCTCATATTTGCTTATGTACACACTTGGGTTTGTCTGACAAGTTGAGAAGTGCTCTTTCTTTTTTTTATCCCATGCTGCCTTCTGGAACCTATCCCAGGTCATAACACCCATGTGCATGCTGTGCTGCTTGGAACTCGAGGCTCTGCTGTCCCGGGAGGAGCGCTGGATGTTTCCTCCAGGATTCAGTAAGACAGCCAAACCCTTTTGGGAAAGGGTAGTTTGCTTTCTTTATTAGCCCAAAGCTAGAGACTGTTTAAATCCTCCAAAAATCTGCACTTTGCTAATCTAGCACAATGCTGCACAGAAAAAAAAGAAAAAAGGGGGAAAAAAAAAGCATGGATTTTCTTTATGCCTGCAAGCCATGCATTCTTATTGGGGAACAATGCACAGACACCGTACAAAGACACTACAGTGCTAAGCAGGAGATAAAGCAGAAAGAGAGGATGCAGTATGGATATGGAGGAGCTAACACACAGCTACCTGGTGGGTTTTCAGAGAAGGATAACTATCATTGCCTACGTTGTTCATTTTTTCTCTGCAGAGAGAACAATACCAATGAAATTGCCTCAAAACTCCAATGTCTCAGTCAGGAAATGGCAGAGACTGGCTATCCCAGCTTGGTGTCTGGTGCTAGTTATACCTGATAGATACACATCATCTTACAAGGAACGCATCTAAAGTATTAGCTAGCTTTTCTCAACGGTCTAAAATGGAGTGGAATACAAATATCCCCTTGATTTCACCATTTGAAATGGTAACCTCAAAAAAATTATTGCCTTGTCCTGAAGGATTAAGAGAGTGCTGGGAAACATTCATGAACACCTATTTGGGTAAAGCTCCGCTTCACCATGTTCTGAAAAAAATGAGCAGCCCGGGATAGCTGAAACCTCTCACTGATTTCACTGTCTTTCAGAATTTATGGGGAACTGAGCCTGTCACCTCCTGACAGAGCCTGAAAGTATGAAATCCATAAACAACACGAGATAAGCCAAATATTTTGTTCTTAGTAGCTTAAAGGCAGCAGACTTCCACAGTCATAAAGCTACCACACAAGCAATGCTGATCTCAACAAAGAGAGACCAGTGAAATTAATGTCAGACATGTTTGATTCCCTGCTCTTTACAACAACTTTAAGTGATTGCCTACAACCATGTACAGTGTCAAGTTGCAAAATACCTTGCAACACATCGTCCTCATTTTTGCAGACCTCATGGTATTTTCTTAAGCTTCCAGTGTCTTGTGCTGTTCTGCCTGGAGTGTTTTGTCACAGATTAGTTTTTGGGCTTCACTGGGCAAGCCCTTAATTGCTATGTGGAGCTGTATGTCATGTTTAAACAGAGCACCATGCTAAATTCACAAAGTGTACAAGAAAATATTTAAGGAGCCATGTAAGGTTGCTAAGGAAATGTAAATAGACTGTTAAACTGTATGAGTGTGTGCAAACAGGCCAAAACTCACTCTGGGGCGTGACTTCTGGTTTCTTCTGCATTCGAGGGTCTTCTTTTCCCTGACACCTCTTTTTCATGAAGTGAGGATAAGAGTTTGCCTGACCACTATGTGAGACCACACGTGCATCCTGTGAATGCTTAGTTTCTCATTTTTTGGGAAGCAGGAAACAACAGACCAAAGAGTCGGAAGAGTTTTGGATGCCTACCTCCAAACCTGGAGGATTGCTCATGAGACAAGGATCCCATGTCCTTGCATCCATAGCAGCTGCCTCTCAGAGCCCTGGCAAAAGTGCCAGCGCTGAAACTTGCACACACTCCCATTTCTGCATGAGTGTTTATGAACCTCCACCTCTGAACCAACAGCCAAAGTGTTTCCCATATACTTACAATAACTTTCCCTTTTTTTTTTTGCCTCTCAACTTGGATACAGAACAGCATTTACTTCTGGCCTGACAGGACAGTGACCTCGCACTCGCACTCCTCAGTACATGGTTCAGATGTTAGTCCCTCTGTTTCTGTAGTGTCTGCCATGGGAAGAAGCAGCCCATTCAGTATTCCTTCTCAGATGGCAAGACACAGATTTTCAATGTGAGAATTAATTACTTCCATGTTACAGAACAGATTTGCAGATTCTATTTTGTGTCATTTCACTCATGATCTCAGCAGTCCTTAGAGCTTTTTGGCTGAAAGTGTCAAAGCAGCAGCAGCCCATATTGTGAAAAGGTTATTTTTATTTCTCACTTTGTTGAAGTCTCCTCTGTAGGTTTACTGACCTCCTAGGGAAAGTGATTTGCCTCTCAGCATTAATGTGGTTAAGCAGATAATTAGAACCTCTGCCAGGTCACTGTTTCACTTTCTCACTACTTGGGCAACCCGCTTGGTCAGACATCTTAGATATCCCTGATTGGGGAAGAGAGGCAATCAGCATGGCCTGAGCATTCTCTCACTCTGTAAAGCATTTAAAAGCCTTCTGAACATGTATGCTGTAAGTGAAAGGAGAAATGTTCTCAATCACTCAGGAGTCTGAGCACAAATCACACTATCCACTGACCAAACCCATTGCCTAACATACCTTCTCCCTTCAGCACTGGTTGCTGTTAGTCTGTAGCCATCAGGATGAATCTGGAAGAGCGCTGATGCTGCTGCCTTTGAGTGACATGTGCCAAGCACCCTCCCACAAGCACAGCTTATCTGCCACAGCATAGAGAGAAGTGAATGGCTTGTGATTTATCACCAGAAGCTTCCACAATTTAGCTCTAAAAACTCTGAATGCTCAAAGGAACTCTTGCCAAAAAGCATTGGCTGCTGCACTGCCTGGGACAGCTTCCACATAAAACAGACCCACAGTAGAGACTTCTGGTGACTTTTATCTTTAGCAAATGCCATTCACTAAAACCTTCTCAAGCTGAAAAGCTAAACCACAACTAAACTTCAGTAAAACTTTTCCTCAGTCTAACACCAACACTGTGCTCGTGCAGGTTATTATCAGCAAAGCACAAGTTGTAGTATCTCCCCAATACTATAGTCTTCACACAGTAGACAAACTCTGTATGAAAAGATATTGTTAGCATAAATGAACCCACCAAGAGAATGAAGTTTAAACAGATGGCTGTACTGAAATTTCTGCAGCGCTGCTGCTGGTTTTGTGATTTTGGGTCTGTTTCTTGACACAGGACCAGAGAAACTGCTCTGCTCTTGCGAGTTCTGAAAGAGCACATCCATTACAGAAGTCTCATTATGAAGAAACTTGCCCACAGGTATCCAAGGCAGTTTAGTTAAGGCAAAAAGTCTGGCTAGATATAGTTTATTTTGCAGGTCTTCACCCTACAGCTGGATGGAGGCAGCAGTCAGAGAAGTAGTGCAGCACAAGCCCTCAGCTGCTTCTGACAATTACTCTGCATTTGAGCTGACCACACTTGGCTACAAGTTCTGTGACCGTGATAAAAGCAGCCTCATTTTGTTAGATTAATACGCATACACTTGCATGTATGAAAACATTTCAACCTTTGTGAGGCAATCGTTGAGACACGTTTTATTAAATAATTAAAAAAAAAAATCCCTATGGCAATCGCAGGAGATGTAATCGCTCAGTTTATGTATATAAAACCACATTAGTTTGGCTGCCATCCAGGCAAGCAGCAAGCAAGCACTATTACTTGATTTCTCCCATAGATCAAAGCCAGTCAGCCCGTAAGCAAGACAAGATCCTTCCTCACTGCAGGGATCCCTTTTATCCGAAAATCTCTTCCAACTGCACAGAAACTTCCCTCAAACAGTAACAAAGGTGTCAATCAGCACTTGCTGCCTTGGGGATCTCATTTGGGACAGAGAGGGATCTCTCTCGATCCACCAGTCCTTGGATGATTCTCCTAACCCTGGGGAATGCTGTGCTGAGGAGGTTGCTCCAGGCGGGTGTAGTGACACTGGGTATGACTGCCTCTCGGCAACGCTTTGTGGCGTGCTTTTCTACTCTTTTCCCTATCTCCTCCTCTGAAAATGTGGCTTGTGAAAACGATAGGGTCATGGAAGGCTCTGTGCTCGAGGCAATGTAAGCATTTTGCCAGACTCTGCACAGCAAAGGTTTGAAACCTGGGCACATCCAGGCCTTTCAGTCAAGCCAACCACACGACTGCTGTGCCCACTGGTGGCAGTGAGCAGCCACACGGCGCCATGCAACGTGCTTGATGCCAGCTGAAGTCACAGGGCCTTGGGTCCATCAGGACGTGGCTCGTCCTCCCCACCCCCTGCACGAGGGAGTGCGGGTGGTTTGGGCCACACAGAGCCGTGCAATACCATCGTGTAATGCAGTAGGGTGGGAAGCTTGTGCAACAGGCATAAGAGTAGGGGGTGGTGAGTGAAGGATGGACACGATTAAATCCCAGCAGCCTCTGGTTTGCTGCAGCCACGCTGCAAATTAGCAGGGTAAGCACAGGAGCAGCTGAAGCAGGTGCACAAGTGCAACCTGATCCGGGCTTGCAGACTCAGGCTGCCCACACGCCAGAGATCAAATATAGGGACTCAGAGGGCTGGCTGGTTCTCACATAGAAGCGTGGGCAGGAGCTCACGGCCAGGCCCAGCCGAGTGGGCAGCCATCCCTGTCAGCAGCGTGAGGCCACAGGAGAGCTTGGGAGTGCAACGCCAGCAGGCAGATTTGTAACTTCAAACCCTTTCATGTGGCTTCACCATTGCCAGATCTGCCCCAGCTTTTCTTGTCATGGCCACAGAGCTGTTTCACTTATTTTTTTCCTTGACCGGGTGTCTCATTCTCTTTTGTTTCACTTTTGTTTATCGTTGGGTGGTACCACAATTGTTTTATGCAGATAGCAGTAACAAGCGTTTGTTCCAGATAGGGAAAGAGGTTTGTAACACTTGCAAGGTGATGTTATGAGGAGCAGGGCTGCCAGGATGGCACTGAGAAGCAGAGATGTGCAGCATCTGAGAGCACCGAGAGCACTGAGAAGCAGGGGTGCAGCATACAGGAGCACAGGCAGGGGAAGACAAGAGATGGGCACAGGCTGGCACTGGAGGTCCCACAGCTGTAAACAGCTCCATCGTGGTCAGCTAAAAAAGCAGGCATGCCTGGGCTGGACAAGATTGGCTTTAGGGATAACAAAGAGAACCATATATCATAAAGTCAGGTGTCACCTGGCTTTGCAAACCAACCAAGACAAAGGTGTATGAGTATGTTAGCAAACAAACATGTCAGCTTGAGCCCACTGCCCTTAGGACCCAGAAGAGCAGTGGAAGGGAGAGCGTGAGAGCAGGAATAGGGATAGAAATGAAGAAGTCTGTGTGTTACAATTTTAATTACTGCTTTGTTATTACTGTATTTAAGTATAATTCTTGTGTTTTTACTATTAGATTTTCTGTAATAGTAGACTAATCTAGATCTAGATCTAAACTGATGATGATTCCCAAATTAAACTGGGTGGAGTTGAATTATACTAACAATAAACACTTGCCTTTGTTTATAGATAAACATATAGGATATGCTGCTTTTTTTCCCATAAGCAAAGTTTTGAACATAACAAAACTCAACATAGGCTTTCTTTATAGTTCTTGGAATAGATCTTGGAAGCCTCAGGAAGAGAGGCATTACACTGAGTAGAGGCTCTGCAGAGTAGACTGGGTGCCTTGTCAAGGTCCTGGTGAGAGAGCAGCTCAGCAAATGCAAGGCAGAAGAACCTGCATCATCCTGATTCATCCAGCTGACTATGTGACTGCACTATATTTCCTAGATTTTAAACCTGACATGTCTTAATTTAACGTATGATCTAATTATGTACTTGTGAATCTATCATAAAACAATTGTCCTTAGTATTGTGTTTTTTCTTCTTGTCAGTGTTCTGAAAGAACATCTGGATTGAATACAAGATTACTCAGGAGTTCAGATTTAAATGCTATTTAGTGCTTAAAAACAAATAATAGAGATTACTACTGATTGCAGGTATATGCATCTTTTCTTACCCAGTAAGTGCACAGCACTTTACAAATGTTGACAGAGTCAGTCTTGCAGTGCCAAGAAAACTAAAGCAAGCATAGATTTCAGCACTCAGTGTGAAACAAGTCTGGTAATACATGTAATATAGGCATGTAATAGTTTGTGCTGACTCTTAAGCCTGTTGACTCACTGTGTAACCAAAACCTGGGTAAAGGAGCCGGGAGTGGCTGTTTGGGATAAGCAGCAAAGACCATGCAGCCTGGAAGGTTGCTAGGGTGGGACACTGCAAACACAAGGCAAAAGCTTGAACAGACTTTTATTTCCTCATTTTATTTTTTTCCTATGGTTGTAGTGTTCTAGAAAGCAATGAGTTACACTGAGTGTGACACCAAGCAGGTTGGGCTCAACGTCTGTGTGTGTTGGAATTGCATCTGCTTTGAGATGGGGAATTGGAAGAAGAGAAATACTGGAGAACATAAGCAGAGCCAGGCCTCCTCTGACAACCACCTCAGGTATTTCCTTTTACAAATAAATGAAGTTGATATATAAGCACTGTTACATTGTTAGCCCCTGTCCTTCCCACTGGAAATTTATTTTTGAGTCTCATTAGCTTGTTCTGATATCAGTAAAAATCACTTTGGGTACTCCAATATCCACATGCACTTGAATTTGAACAGTACACTTCCTTTCGTGTTTCTTTAACTCAGAATTTAATTTAAAGTCACATTCCCATCAATGGTTCTGCACTGGAAACTGTATCTAGAGAGCACCTGGTGCTGCTGCTGCTTTCAGTGTGTTAAATCATCCCCATCTTGTTTACTTCCCCCCAGTGCCAGTGCACTAAAGTAAATCCAGAAAGGAAAAAGAAGTCTGTGCCAGCATGGCAAGAATGGGATGAAGGAAGCTTTTGCTGCCTGATCTCCCTCCTCAGCACTGCCAGTTATTAACTGCACAGTTTAAAGGCAACCAGGGGGAACAGAAGGCTACTGCAAAATCCCCCAGCTTATTCATAGGCTTGATTCTATTAAGGCTTTTATTTTAAAAAAATCCACTGGTGGAGTTAATTGATATTTGCCCTACAGCTACAAACTGCTCCTTGTTATTAACATATTTTGTAAAGTTGAAATGAAAGAAATTGAAAATGACAATAAAGTAGAGCATGATTTTGTCTGCAGCATAATGTTATATCCGTGGAAGTAATTTGCTGTAAATGCAACAATTTTGCTATCACTTTGATGTGTGTGTTTAAGGTGTTTTCCTTAATTAGCCTGTTTATGCATCCCTGCATTATTCTGAATTAGATACTTAGCATTGGCAGCCCAGAATCCCGTGTTGACTTGTCCTGCTCTGCATTATGGGATCTTTTTTCTCTTGGCAATGTTCTTGGATTGTTAGCAGGAAGAATGGAGATCACATTAACAAGGCTGTATGCTTTTCTTGCTGGTATTAAATAGATGTGCATTTCAAGCCATTTCAGCTATTCAGTACATTTTAAGCCATGTTCAAACCACAGCCAGACAACCCAAGAAATCCACTGCTGAACTCTACTGTTCTTAAGAAGAAAATGATATGCTTGCATTTGGAGTAGCTTATCAATTTTTTGTTTGTAAGCATGAGTAAAAATCAAATACAAAAGTGTGATTAAAACCAAACCAAGTGTCTTCAGTGCTGTCTGACTTAAATCACAACCTGTCATTAGCCAATGACCAAGTCCATCTCACTAGGCAGGTAAGACCCACCCTCAGCAGACTCCAAGGCATGCATCATGCAATTCAGATGTTTTTCAATATTCTTCCATTATCAACATGGATACATGATTTCATACAACTATGGTCGATGATTTTATTGTAGTATTTACCAAGCAAGAACGTATAGTAAAATGTGTGGTAGAAGGATTTTGCCTTGCAGCTAGGTGGCTCCTTCTTACGCTGTTCCTGACAAACTGTCCTGAGCAGAAACACTACAAGTAATTAGTCTACTGGAAATTGCATTTAGCTGTAGTCACTAAACTTTGTTGTACAAAAATAAGAAAAGTTCCTAGAAATAATTGGACAAAACAATCAAAACATTTTAAAGAGTAAAAATACTGAAAATTAAGAAGTGCAAGTCCCTTCTGATTTTATCAAGGTTTTCTTCTTAAAATGAACGAAGAAAGATGAAAAGATTCAGGCAAAAGAGTTGTTCATGTTAGAGCAGTAGAAAATGCTCCTTACTGCACTCTGTACGCAACACTTTCCCCCGAATGGCGAGATAGTAACTCACCAGTTTGCATGAGATAAGCGACTGTGTGAAGCACAGGTCAGAATCCTAAAAGCTGTTTGCTGTAGAATAAAAGATGATGTCTCCGAGTTCTTACATTTTTATTCTCTCTCTGACTGCTGTTTCCTAGCGCATGCTTTCCTAAATGACTAGCTGCTAAATCTCGTCTTTGAACACATTGAGGATGAAGCTGTACGACCATTTTCCTTGACTTTAGGAGAAAACAAGGTTATGTTTGTGGATTAGGTCCAACATATTACCTTTATGAACTAAAATATTGGAAGCTTGTAACATTCAGATTGGGTCTGAAGTAGTTCTGCAGATAAATTTGTTTTAAAGTTCCATAATGCTGGGATATAACCATCTTTGATGAGCAAATACCTACCGTGAAGCCCTACTGAAGCAGACATTGGGTGATGCTGTTGTAATTTCAGATGACATACGCTCAGTGATAACTTGGACCAGTTCTAGCACAGACAGCAGCCTTCCCAGAAGCTCCCTTCATGTCTGATTCTGTCTTGGAGAACACAGCTGGACAGGAGAAGGTCTCAGCTGCAAAAACCTCATCCTGGTAATGTGTTTTCTCCTGTGATTGGTCAGAGGCCCAACAATGTCATGACAATTGGACCTCTCAGGTTCTGACGTTTTGAGGTTCTGACTTGCAGAATAAAACAAATGTTTTTGGCTGGTTTTACCATTGTTCTGGTATATGTAGGCAGTGTTCAAACACAGACAGTGGTGCTGATGTTTGGCTCACAATGGTAAGCTCTTCATGGCCAGTAAGGTGATACTGCTTTAACAAAATACTACTTTATTTAAAAAGCACATATCTGGCTATTTTTCCTGATCTGTATTACAAGTCAACCTTCATGTCAGGTGAAAAGACAAGGAAACCATGGGGTGACTAAGGAAGCATCCAGCACTGAGTTGACTGCTGTTACTGAGCAATCCTATAGAGAAATATTACTTGTTTGTACTGCTGCTGAACCTGGTTGTCATGAAAATCAGAATCTTCAGCAGAATTAATTGAATCTCCAATGATCTGAAAATTTAGTACTGTTTTCTAAACCGAAAAAAATAATGAGTTTCAGTGAAAAATAATAGAGAAATATATAGTTTTATGTCATAGAATCATAGAATCAAGGTTGGAAAAGATCATCCAGTTCAACTGTCTACCTATGACCAATACTTGTCACTAAACCATGTCCTCAGTACAACATCTAAAAGTTCCTTGAACACCTCCAAGGGTGGTGACTCCACTGCCTCCCTGGGCAGCCCACTGCAGTGCCTGACCACTGTTTCAGAGAAGTTTTCCTGACATCCAGCCTGAATCTCCTCTGGCACAACTTGAGGCCATTCCCTCTCATCCTATCACTGGTTACACAGGAGAAGAGGCCAACCTGCACCTTGCCACAACTTCCTTTCAGTTGTAGAGAGCAAATTGTAGTATGCCTACTAGTATGGCTCACTGGTGCTTGGAAATGACAGAAAAAAAAACTGTATATTCTTTTAAAACTTGAAATATTAGCTTTTTAAGTCATTAACCTCCGTTAACATTATTAATTTTCAACTGAGCCCCCATTGTCTCTGCCCCACACACAGATTTGTCCCTGCAGCTTCTACCAAAAAAATGGAGGAGATCATCCAGGGAATACACCTGCAGCATTCATATTTTGTTGATTATCAGTTCTTAAATGCTGGCCAGCCGAGGTGCATTCTGCCTTTACAGAACCTTTCCAGCTTTTAGAAATTTGTCATGTTCTCTAAAAGACTAAAAGTTCTTTCCCTTGTGATTCTAAGTACTATGGAAAATCAGAAACTGAGGATTCAGAAGATAAACTGTCCAGATTGTGTGGAACATTTGAATTCTTCAACATCTCAGTGGTCCAATTAAACCATTTTCTTTATGAAGACTCAGCTTCATGAAAAACTGAATATACTAATAAAAATGTGAGTCATCGTGCCTTTCTTACTGAGCCTTTTTATCTTTCTGTGTCCGAGGCAACAATAAACATGATTTATATGCACTATGTTTAATTTCCTGCAGTGTTCTGATCTTGCATTGGTGCAGGGGAAAAGTCAATGAAGATGGATGGTGAACAGAATGCAAACTGGGAGGCAGGCAGTAAATGTGGTCAGAAATGGGAGGAGATCACATTGCAGAGATAAGTAACACTTCTACATTTCTAAAGCTGCTGCTATTTAGGGTATATTAGAAGAAAAGCTTTAATATGACTGGTAAGGCAGAAAGATAGACTTGTCTGTACCCACAAAAAATACCAATTTAAATCCTCTTGTGCAGATGAATCATAACGCAGTGCATAGCACTTACTAGTATTGTTCCCCCCACAGCACTGACAAACAGGACCACATTTCTTTCAGGATGTTCACGTAACTGCTTTCTGTAAAGGCTGGATGACCCAACCAACACTGGTCTTAACTGCTGCAGCAGTTCTTCTCACTGAACTGTGCTGACCATATGCCACATACAGTATCACAGGAACTTTCTGTTTCCTCATGTGCCATGGAGATGGCACGGAGCTGCATCAGGAGAGGTTGGGTATTAGGGAAAGGTTCTTGGGTATCAGGGAAAGGTTCTTCACCAGAGGGGTGGGCACAGAACAGGCTCTGCAGGGCAGTGGGCACGGCCCCAGGCTGCTGAGTTCAAGGGGTGTTTGGACAATATTCTCAGACACAGGGTTTGAATTCTGGATCTGGGGCCATGAGTTGGACTCGATGACCATTGTGAGTCTTCCAAGATGGGAAATTCCAAGATTCTAGGTTCCACGGGGGCACAATTTGCAAAATTTAATTCCATTTTTTGAAGTCTAAAGAGCGTTTTCCTAATGGAAAATTACTAACGGCTATTTTCTGCTTCCTTAATTTCAGAAACATTGTTGGGACTTTCTGTTTTGGGACACTGAAATTGGCTCTGGAAGGCCCTTGCTTTCTTTTATTGGCTTTGATAGTATCCTCCATACAGTTGTGTTCCAGTTCCTGTTGAAGTGGTGCTATTTAACTGCACGCTATTTATCTTTCTACTCGGGACAATGAAGTCTCCAGCTTCTGACAGCACCATGACCTTCCTGCCTCCATGCAGACCCCAGAGACAACCCTGCGGCACAAAAGAGGCTCCACTGGCTGCCCGTGAGAACTGTAGTGAAGAAGGATGCCAGAGGAGCTGCTTGAAACGGCAATCAGCACGGGGGGCTGCTACCAGGAAAGCATTTCAGTGTGAAAGTGCAAATCCATATTGACTTTGCTCCTCATAAGGTTACTTACCATGGCTCAAGAAGCCAAGAGCACTGGTTTAAAACCATGTTAGTCACAGGCAGGGGAAATTTCAAGGCGAAGGAAACTGCATGTCTCAAAAATGCACATTTCTGTAGAAAAAAGCCTGAGAGAGAAAGGAAACCAGCATCTCTTTCCAAGGAACAGCTATTTGCTGGGCAGTTGCAGCCACTGGAGGGGAATATCCCAAGAAACCTAGCTTTGTTGTCTTTGGAGTAAGAAAAAGGTCACATTCTATAGGACAACAATAGTCTTTGTGAGCAGATGCTGCTTTATGGATCTTTCTGTGGTCTTAATTGTGAATTATGCTACTTTTTTGTCCACAGAAATGCAGTCCTATAGTTAGAGACAGGCATTTGGGGTTCTGTTTCTCTCCCTCCTCCCTTCCCAATGAATATAGAGATCCTTAACCTACTTTTAGTTATTATACAGCTCAGAGCCTGTGCCTGTTCCCTCAAAGGACAACTGGAAGGCTGCCACTGACTTCAAAAACAGCATGGGCAGGCTTCTTGTTAGTTAACATTTGTAAAGTGCTTGGAGGTACTTAGGCAACAGATGTTACATAAATGCGATTAATTTTATAAGTTCACTATCATGTCTGCAATGTTGTATTGCAACTTTGTAGCAGGCGTATTAACTCACGGTGAAGTGCTGGATGCAGGATTAAGGTTTAGTTAAGCAAAGACAAACGACCTTACCAAATTCAATGCAACTATTCATCCACATAAATAAAGCTTCTACCTTAGACTCTTAGAATAAGGAAACCACTTGTGTGTGTGTTTCTGTTTGTATGAAAACTCTTCTACAAGTACTTGTTAGCACGAGCTCTTTACGTCTGGTACAGACATAAAACATAGCTGCTAGATGTCACACGCTTGAATCATCACAGATGTCCAGGGAACAGCAATATGATAATAGACACAGAAGGAAAATAACATCTAATACTGATCTCTCAACCACTCCTGTTAGCTTTTTCCAGTTAATTGTTAAAATCTGATTTTATCTTTCAGTGAACCAGAGAAGTCCGCTAACACTTTCAAGCAATGTGGGTCGTGTTTATACTGGGGAGGAACTTCTAATGTGCAAATTAACAAAAAGCTATTTATCATTTTACAGTATTTAGGCAGATGTTTCAAAATTGATGGACATTTTAAAATGATTTTCAACATGAATCTTCTAATCAACTTCTTGGTATGACTGAAATCCACCAGGTTGAGGCCACTACAGGCCAAGATTTGAAAAAGATCTCCATATTTTGGAATCCATACCATCACTACAAGAAAGACACTGAAGCCCTGGAGCATGTCCAGAGAAGGGCAAGAAAGCTATGAGGGGTCTGGAGCACAAATCTTATGTGGAGGCTGAGGGAGCTGGGATTGTTTAGTGTGGAGGAGGCTCAGAGAAGATCTTATTGCTCTCTACAGCTACTTGAAAGGAGGTTGTGGCGAGGTGTGGGTTGGCCTCTGCTCCTGTATAGCTAGTGATAGGATTGCAATTAGGCTGGAGGAATCCCAGGCATATATACAGACTAAGAGGAGCAGTCCTTGAGAAAATCCCTGCAAAGAAGGACCTGAGTGTCCTGCTGGATGAAAAACATAACGTGAGCCAGCAGTGCAGCTCGGAAAGCAAATGGTATCCTGGGCTACAATAGAAGAGGAGTGGCCAGCAGGGACAGGGAGGTGATCATCCATCTTTCTTGTGCTTGTGAGGCCCCATCCGGAGTACTGCATCCAGGTCTGGAGCCCCCAGTACAAGAAAGACAGGGAGCTGTTGGAGAGGTCCGAAGGAGCCACAAAGATGATCAGGGGGCTGGAGCACCTCTGCAGACAGGCTGAGAGAGCTGGGCTTGTTCAGCCTGGAGTAAAAAGGCTGCATTGTGACCTCGTTGCAGCCTTCCAGTACCTAAAGGAAACCTATAAATAGAAGGGGAGTCAACTCTTTGAAAGGGTAGATAAGAGCAGGACAAGGAGAAATGGTTTTAAGTTGAGGTAGGGAAGATTTATTTTGGACGTCAGAGGAAATTCTTTACAGAGAGTGGTGAGGTGCTGGAACAGGCTGCCCAGAGAGGTTGTGGATGCCCCGTCCCTGGAGGTGTTCAAGGCCAGGTTGGATGGGGCCCTGGGCAGCCTGGTCTGGTATTAGAGATGGATGTTTGTGGCCCTGCATGCAGCAGGAGGGATGGAGCTTCATGATCCTTGAGGTCTCTTCCAACCCAAACCATTATTTGATTCTGTGATTCTATGATTCTACGAAGAGAGGGAATTGCCTCAAATTGTGCCAGAGAAGATTCACGCTGGACATAAGGAAAGACTTCTCTGAAAGAGTGGTTGACATGCACCACAATGTGCAGTTTATTGCTGAACTGTTTGCTATTTCTTAGTTTATTTTTAATCAGTTAATATTAAGCACTTAAGCAAGGGCAGACATTGGGAGGAGCCCTGGCCCTGGGCTGTGGGAAGGAGCCAATATTTTCAGTGTAAGCTTAGTTCCTGCCTCCCAGCAGAAAGGCAGAATCCAGACTCCAGAATAAGGCACTAACATCTTATTGCTAATGTTTGGCTGGCTATGGATAATAGATTTAAACTGTTATAGTCCTAATGAGTTCACCACAGTAACTTAATTAAGCAATTGAACATGACAGGCAATGCATTGTAGGGGGATTATTTTATGCCTTCAGTAAAACAAAAACAAAAACAAAAACAAAAACAAAAACAAAAAAGAAAGGGATTTCAGCTACCAAGAACCCTCCGAAAACAAATCTCCTGTCTGCCACGCTGAGACTAAAGACAACAGAGAAGAATTGTATCTGCGGAAGCCAGATACACATCACCAGCACTTCTCCAACAGAAGCTATCAATAGCTGTACTAGCAATGACTTCCAAGTTAAGACCTTACCTTCAGGTTTTCATTAGGTGGCATCACATCAATTACAAGCAAATTACATGAATTAAAATAAAAAAATGCCATTAATTACAAATCCTTACATTTAGGTTTTGGAAAAGGAATTCAAAAATTGAAAAGTCAGAGTTAAACCAAGAAGATCTGAAGCTACTGTTGTTTTTGGAGTTTTTGAGATCAGTATGCTGCTCACTGCACAGAGATATAATAGACTTTGATTTAATCTGTTTCAGTCTGGAGCAATGAAACAAAGAACAACACGGAGGGTGTTGTGTTCCAGCTTGCAACTGCAGAAGGTTTAGCCTTCCTTTTCATCTTTGCTTTTCTACTTGAGCTCTGCTACAAGGCCTCATTGGGCTGTACTCAATCTTCTTGTAGGTCCTTTCCAACCTTGTGATTCTGTGATACAGCAGCAGAAGTGCACTGAAGCGTCCCTGCTGCATACCTGATTAGTGTCAGGTGCAGGTGGGAGTTAGGTGCAAACATATTCATCTAACATGGACTGTATTGACACTGCACAGTATTTGCAAGACTATTCAAAGACCAAACTATGAATTTCATTCTAAACTTCTTCCCTACGTGCCATCCCTACACTTGCCACTGATGTAGAACCTATCAAGTATCCCCCTCACATCTTATTTTTGGTATCAGTGATAAACTGTGTCTTCACAGCAGCGTATGTGTCCACTGAAGAACAGCAGATCAAAAGATGAAGATGTCCAACTTATCCCAGAGTTAGCAAGCGGCCAAAATGATGGAGACACCATTCCTATTTAGTGACACCTGAACAACCACTGATAGATAAACCAGTGCTGGTAAAGGAGAAAGAGAGCAGCCATGGAGATTGGAGTCATCCTCATCTCACACCACCCCTAGATGCGGCACAGACATTCCAGCAACCCCGCCATCAGAGTGAGAGCTGACATTGCCATTTATTTTCCTTCCCTGTTATCTGTCTTAATCACATTAGGAACACACAGTGCTTTCTATGTTTAGATCTCTAATTATTTTACTCAGTAGGGTAAGTATAATCATCCTCATTTTGAACCACTGTGAGAAGATGAAACAATTTGCCCAGCATCTCATAGCAATTCATTTATATAGATGCTTTTCTATCTATGGCAATCCTAATAATGCATTCCCCTTAGCAATATGTTGTAGCAACGAATCTCACACGTTAGCACACCTCTCCCACACCTCACTATCAGTGTCTCCCAGCAATCTCCACAAAAGACCTGTGCCCACCTTGCACCACAGTGGTGCACTGGGATGTGCCCTGTGGCTGGAACAAAGCTATCTGCTTCGTTCTCTGCAAGGTGAGTAACACCTTTGACATTTTCCCCCGTTCACTCTGATAACGTAGAAATAAAAACCCAGATGCGTGCTGACATTTAATTTCTCCCAGTTATTTGTTCTCAGAACAAATACATCACTGAACTTGTCTTCCTCACGGACTGATAAAGTGGTGCATGTAGAAGTTAAGTGAGTTCATGTTCCTTTTTTTAAGCTCTCTTTTGTTGAACTGTTCTTAAGAAAAGTGTATGGCCACCACCCCAGCAGTGGTGCAGGTGTTCAGCATCGTCACACTGTGGCACACGAAACCCCTGCTTCCATTCGGTGAGGCTGACTTTTGAGAAGCTTTTCCATCAGAGCACACAATTTGGTCTGTGTGTCCTCTTTTGTATCCATTATTATCTCACAGTGTGGGCTATAAAACCAAGCCTCTTGCTGTGGTGCCAACTGGCATCTGTCACCGCTCACTCCTTATCAGCTACCTCTGCCAGATCCCAGCATTAAACGAGGCCATGCCACTATCACTGGGATTAGAACTAATGCACTGAGTTCTTCCTGCCCTGTTTATTTTTATCAACTTATTTCCATTTCCACTCTGGGCATCTGAGCTCCGGAAATGGTGGGTGCTGTAATGAGCAGCACATCCACGCGGACGCGGATCCCGACTGCTCTCTGCCTCAGTCTGTGCATTACAGGGAGGTGCAAAATCCTGCAGTGGGGGAGCAGCAGCCCTACCACGGTGACTTCCACACCACTGCCACAAGTGCCCAGGGGCTGGGAGGATGTGGGAACGCAGGGAAGGACAGCTGTCTGCCTGCACTGAGATTCTGCTAATGCCCTGCAGCTCCCGACTGGAAAATTTTACTCCAGTTTCCTACCCTGCTGTGTCTTCATTGGATACTGTGAAATACAACAGACAAGCAGGTACCTGGATTTTATAACTTCCTCCTCTAACATCTAATGACAAAAACTTTGTACCATCCATGGAGCAAAATCCGAATCAGGTCAGATGCCAAGGCTCAGAGCAGGGCTGTGGCCATGAGATAAACAGCTTGGGCGGAGGAAAGCAAACGCCTCACTGCAAAGACAGAAAGCACCTGGTGGCTGCTGAATGCCAGTGCAGAGTGATCTCCACTCACTTCCATAAGTGTTCTGGACATCTGTATCGCCTCATTGTTTCTGATGGAAATACACTGCAGTGTTAGAACTCATTTTCCTTCACAGCCACAACAAATTTCTCCCCCAATTTCTCTCTTTACGTCCTTTCTTACTACTGCACAAAATTCTTCAGCTTCTTTATTGTTTACACCTCCCCTAATGTTTATTTGCTTGTTCAGACCCTCAGTCCCTCTCCACATACTTTAGATTGAACCCCGAAACTTTTAGCTCTCTGGTCTGAGAATAATACAAACGTGAGGCTTACAACGAAGAAAACAAAGTTAAAAAAGTTGAGGAAAAAATGGAAACTAATCAAGCTTCCAAGGTAAAATGTTGTGAAATTCTTGTACAGGCTGTTTTAAACAGCAAAAGTATGTTCAAGTCCAGAAAGCAGTAAGATTCATGGAGGAAAACTAGTTCCAGTGCTATGAAACAGAAAAGTATCTCCTCTGGGCAGCCCAGTAAGGATAGGAGGTGGATGGGGAAGAATTCATGTCAGCTTCTTTGCTGCTACCCAAGCATCTTGCATTGGCCAAGGTCAGGCAGAGGCTGATGAATCAGAAGGACCTCTGGCCTGATTCAATGCATCAGCCCTTACATATTTTTATTTTCCATGCTGGATGGGTGGATTAGTTTGTTGCTTCCATTTGGCTTCTGTATCAATCATAAACTGCACCCAGAGGACACATGACCGTGTTCTTCATAATGTTTCTGGGACTGAGGTCAGGGAAGGAGTTTCAGAAGAGCTCCTTGAGGTATGTCCTCATGTAGGAAGTGTGCAGCAGGGGGATGGGGGCTGCTAAACAGCCCAGCAACTGCACAGCCTTGCCTGCTGCGCCAGCCTGGTGCTGGAAGCAGCGTGTACAGTGCAGCTCCATTGGCCTCTGCAGCAGGGTACCTTACTCACCAAAGCCCAGGATAGTGCTCCTTATGAGCAAAATGTCAGCACCCTGCAGAGCAACACTGCTTATGGCCACTGAGTTGCCCTGCGTTCCCTGCGTGAAGTTTGTCAGGATGAGCTCCAGGTCACTGGCTGAGGTTTCACTAATTGAAGCTTACACATTCAGGCCACTGCATCTTAGTTTCCTATTCACAGGCTCCACTTGTATCACTTTCCTCTTTTTCTGTTTCACTCAGCTGTAATGCTTGGCTTGTATCATTCATGGCAGGAAGTAATGGGGGGTGGCCAGCAAAAAGTGAAATGGTCAATGGAGACTCATGGACACAAACATGAAGGGGTTTCAGTTTTCTGTTTTCTTACGAAGTAACTGACAACTACACTTATTTAGCTCAAGGAGTGTGGCCAGGTCTGGAGTCCACAATGCAACAAGGATGGAGAGGGTCCAACGGAGGGCCACAAAGTTGATCAAGGGGCTGGAGCACCTTCCCTACAAAGACAGGTAACCAATCATGAATGCACAATGTACTCTGTGATTGCCTAACTTGGACTAAGGCAGTGATAAGCTTCTGTTTTCACCCATGCAATTCAGTTAAATTTTTGCTCTCTTTGTACCTAACAGTTTCAGTAAAGCAGCCCCTGCATTTGCTGCACTTGAGTCCTCCTGAACATAAAGGTTTGAGAACTGGAGAGGATATGTAAGGCACAGTCACAAGCAGCAGACTTGGGTCCTAAGGATGCTGTAGATTTTCAGAAAGAATCCGACATGTTTCCAGCAGATTAAAATATCTCCCTTTCTCCAGTGGGTAAAGTCAAACTTCATTGACTCTGAAAGGAAGATATTTTTGTTTCTTAATGATCATTGCCATAACTGACTCAGTTACAAGCAAAAGCCACAGAATAAATACCTTGTGCAGGTAGACTATTTTTCAAGGCAGAAATACTGCATATTCTTTAATCAAAGATATCCAGTGCTTTCTCCATCCTTTGAAAATGAAAATCACAGCCTTAATTGCACTTTATAGGTCAGTTCTTCTTCCTGGCCTTCCCTCCAGGATACTGTGGTGTTTATCGAGCCTATGTTCACCAGCAAACGAAGAGAAGAACTGGAGTTCATGTTTTCCTAAGCAATGAAACATATCACTGAACGCTCCCAAGGCCAAATGCTGCCAGCTGCAGACACTCCCCAGTGCACTTCAATCCTCTTCTGAATTCACTTATAAAATATCTGGGGCAGACACACACTCTGAACTCATTCGTACCTGCTGGGAACAATTTTCAAGAGCTCAGGAATAAACGAACCTTCTTCATCTATTTGTCTTCATTTTATCAAACCAAAGCCAGATTATATTAAATTACGTATTTGATCATATTAAAATCATCTTAGTACATGCATCTGCAGTACTCAGCAACTTATAAACATCTGCTTCACGTGTGAGATAAGAGTTTTGGGGGATACTGAAGGACTGACATCCTGATGTGTGTTTGTACACGCAGGATCAGGGGCACAGCTTTCTGGAAAGTCATTTCTAGACAGGAAAACGATCCGCTACGTCTCACACTGTGACAGATCTTGTAGTAATACCAAAATCTTCAAGAAAGATCCTGTAAGAGTGTGACTCAGACCAGTCTTGACTGTCAGCATGAGTAAGAGATCAAATGCTCAGGAAAAAAAGGGAGTATCAAAGTGAGGAGCCGCAGCTTCATTACTATTCTGTGGTGCATGAATCCAAACACATCTGCCACCTGGCTGACAGAAAAGTGGGGAATGCCAAATAAAGGGAAAAATACAGGTAAGGAAGGATGTGAGATGAAGGACTACTTAAGGAATTCATGTAGATGTGACTTTGTCTTAAGATGAGCAGAGATAAAACTAGTAAAACAGAATAACTCATGGAGAACATACTTGATGTCCAATCTTTGCAGGCATTGGAAAAGTTGTGTTTCGAGGATTTGTATTCTTACTATAAGATCACAGTTGTGATTTTTTGGGGAATGCTCATATCAAAAATGTTCTACGGTAAAGATATTGAAAAAATAATATTTTTCACAAAATGGGAATTCCTTAAAACGTTTTCTATTTTCAACCACGATTTTAGAATTACATCCCAAACTTCATGTTCTTCATTGTGCGTGTGAATTCAGCAGGTTTTCTGTGTTATTTTGACTTGATAATTCAAAATTCTATTTCTGCGTTTAGTGTCATATGCTGCCTTATGTGTTGTTCTACCAGATAAACAAGAACTATTTTTAATCAACTCAGCACAGCGACGTGAAGTCACCAGCTCCTCATGACTGAGGAACACTTTTCTGATGTACTTGCAAAGTTATGCATACATTATGCATTTTTCTACAGAAATCTCAAACAGAGATTGTTCTGAAATCCAACAAAAGTGGACCTGCTGGCATGCTGCATCCAAGGTGTACAGCTCAGGGAATCCCCTCAGCCAGTCCCAGGAGGTACTTCAGCTCCCCAGTGCCAAAGGACAAATACAGGGACATACATGACCTCCTGTGACAACCGTGAGCAGCCACATGAGACATTGATGTTGTCTACAACAAAAAAGTACAGCTATTGTTAATCATAGAATGGATCTCAACAGGGTTTGAGCTGGAAGCTCAAACCGCTTACTAGCAGTGTTCCTCAGGTTCGGTCCTGTTCAACATCTTCATCAATGACCTTGATGAGGGAATAGTGGCCACCCTCAGCAAGTTTGCTGATGATACAAAGTTGGGAGGACTGGCTGACATGCCTGAAGGCTGTGCTGCCATTCAGCGAGACCCGGACAGGCTGGAGAGCTGGGCAGAGAAAAACCGGATGAGGTTTAACAAAAGCAAGTGTAGAGTCTTGCATCTGGGGAGGAATAATTGCATGCACCAGTACAGGTTGGGGGATGAGCTGCTGGAGAGGAGCTCTGCAGAGAGGGACCTGGGTGTCCTGGTGGATGACAGGTTGGCCATGAGCCAGCAGTGTGCCCTCGTGGTCAAAAAGGCCAATGGCATCCTGGGGTGCATTAAAAAGAGCGTGGCCAGCAGGTCGAGGGAGGTGATCCTCCCCCTCTACTCTGCCCTGGTAGGGCCTCATCTGGAGTACTGTGTCCAGTTCTGGGCTCCCCAGTACAAAAAAGACAGGGATCTCTTGGAAAGAGTCCAGCGGAGGGCCACAAAGATGGTGAAGGGCCTGGAGCATCTCTCCTATGAAGAAAGGCTGAGTGAACTGGGTCTGTTCAGCCTTGAGAAAAGGAGACTGAGAGGAGACCTGATCCAGGTCTATAAATATCTGAGGTGTGGGGGGCAGAATGGCGAGGCCGGACTCTTTTCAGTGGTGAGTGGAGACAGGACAAGGGGAAACGGCCGGAAACTGCAGCATAGGAAGTTCCGCACAAACAAGCGCAAGAACTTCTTTACAGTGAGGTGACGGAGCACTGGAACAGGCTGCCCAGGGAGGTGGTGGAGTCTCCTTCTCTGGAGATGTTCAAGACCTGCCTGGATGCCTACCTGTGCGACCTGGTGTAGGGAACCTGCTTTGGCAGGGGGGTTGGACTCGATGATCTCTGGAGGTCCCTTCCAACCCCTACGATTCTGTGATTCTGTGGAAGGGCCCTCACAGCGCACACAGCCCCAAGCCCTGCCCTGCCCTGGTTGCCCCCAGCCGGATCCAGCTGCCCAGGGCCCACCCAACCTGGTCTCCAGGATGGGGCACCCACCGCTGCTCTGGAAAGTCATGCCAGGGCCAGACCGCCTCTGAGAATTCAGTGGGAACTGATCAGCTCTCACAGGCCTCTGTGGGAGCCCTTTGGTTCTGGTGCTGCCCTGGCACAAACCAGCCTCGCTTCTGCTGGTCCCTGAGGATGCTTGCGCAGGAGCATCTCTGTTTTCTGCTCTCCACAATCCCTGCCCATCCGGCTTCACGACGCCAGTCAGAGATGCGGAATTAAAGAGCTGTGCTCAGGCACCCGGCTTTCAAGGGGCAGGATCTCCCTCTGGAGGCCTTCAGCAGCAACTGCTTCTCCCAAGTTTCACAGACCTGGGCGAGAAGTTTCTGTGGAGTCAAAATGCTGCGACAAATCCAAAACTTTGCACCCGACTGGATTTCCTTGAGTTCTACTTTGGCTCGCAACCCTAAACCTTCTGTCTAAAGTGGATGTAATCTGCCAACAGCTTCAGAAGTTCCTGGACACATCGGGGTGTAAATAGAGACCCTTTGGAAAAGGAGGGAGAAGTAATTTGTATTGAGAATTTCGCATCAACCTTTAATATAGTAAAGTATTGTGCTAGATTGAATGCATTTCGTTTTGTGCCTTCCACTCTTCCTGAACTCTATGTTTCACTTTCACTTCAAAACAAGTAATTTTCTTGAGTCTCTGGAACTTGTGTTGACCACACATGGCAGTTTCCTCCAACAGGAATGTGCTCCATCTCATTACACTGTGACATTTCTAAGTGATCTGCTCAGACTGAAACTGTAATAAATTGCCAAAGGTGTTTGAAAAGACATTCCACGATGTCAGTACCTGTGAATGAATATATAAGAAGCTTCTGTGGACTTTCAGACACTTTATTTGACATAACATTCAGGACTAAAGAAGAATTAGCCTTTCAAATTCTACCAGTCACAGAATCACAGAATTGTAGGGGTTGGAAGGGACCTCCAGAGATCATCGAGTCCAATCCCCCGTTCAGTCAGCACACTGAATGCAAAGTAACCAAAAAGCATTTTTGAAAATGAGTTGTTTTTTTGTTGTTGTTTGTTTGTTTGCTTTTTTTTATTTGAATGTGTGTATTGTTCATTTTTTTTTAATAGTGATAGGTTTTTCTCAGACTTTATATGTAAATTTAAAAATGTACGATAAATATCAACTCACTGTCTGAAAGGAGAGATTGCAGTAAAAGTTCCTGTGTAGCCATAAATAAAAAAGAAACTATTGCTTAAGCAGTAACAATAAGTCTCAGGTAGAAGTTAGTGGAAGTGAAGGTGTCGGTGGCTTTGGAATCAAGAGGAAAGGAAGCAGAAGCATTTCTGCCCCTACAAGGAGGCAGACATGGGTCGGGTCACTGCGAGGCGCTGCTGCCCCACTTCTGTGAGCTGTGCTGGGAACAGAGCAGGGGTTATGCTGGGAGATGGACGTACATGCTTGTCTGAACCAATGTTCTTTCAACAACAAAAAGCATTCTGCTTAAAGATTACACCATGCTGAGTGGCTGCCGTACATTCCTTGGGAAATGCCTGGCTTTTCATGCAGCTGGTTTCGTGCTGGGCACTGGAGCTCAGCAAGCATTCTGCAAGCTGCGATGGTTTGGCCAGCAAACTCTTCATGTCTGATTTTGAGCTCTAAAGCTGGTCACTTTGGTTAAAGGGAACTTCAGATCTGTACAGGCAGCCCCATTTTCAAAACAGCACCCCAGTACTGGCACAGAGCATGCAAGGTAATATTTCACACCTGCACTTGTAAAGATGGCATTTTGTAAAGACGATGGCTAAGTCAGAAAAGCAAATAATCATTGTTAGAGTCATTTATGCACCTCGAAAACTGTTACCAGTAGGTGCAACTTGTTCTAATTTCAGTGCTTCAGACCTCGCAGTAAGCCAGATGCAGATTAACAAAAAATGCAGTTAAACAGTTTGAAGCAGGGCAGGAATCCTGGGGAGGGTTTTCAGGGGAGGAGGGTGAGCACACCTGTACATCTCATTTTCTCTTCAATGCTAAAATGACCACAGGTTTATTGTCTTTACTCTAAATTTCAAGATCTTACCCTTCAATCAGACCAGCCACTGCTTTTGAGAAGAAGTAATTAAATTAGTAGCAGGTACAAAAAGAAGAATGCACATACTGCAGCCCTGAGTAGAGCATGCTGGCTGAAGGCAGTTCTCCCAAACCAGTGCCACTGGAGAAAGCTATCGACCCCACTGTGCTTTGATCCCTTCTTTTTCCATCAGGGATTAGTATCACTAGAAGATAAATAACATGCCTAAGTAAACTTCTGAAATTAAAAAAAAAAAACAACACAACAACAAAAAAAGTTTCCACATTGGGTCACTCAGAACAGATCAGCAGAAGTAACACTGCAAATGAGAGGAATGGCACTCACCCTATCATATCCATTAGCGAGGCGTTTCTGAGGCTTTGATGCCTCTTCTAGGTAAAATCAACCTTAATGCAGCATTACTGAAGTCATCGATCTCAGGAGACCTTGAATAAAGGAGAAAATATGTCTAAGCATTTTCACACGTACATGCAAGGACCAATGCACTATGTTCTTCTGTGACCATGTCTTTCTCTGGGATTTCTGTTCTATTCTTGATGAAAGCCCTGGCACGCCTCAGTACGCACACAACTGGACAGTACATCCATGGGGGATGTGGCTACGCAGATTGGGTTTAGCATGCTTAATTTGCTTTTGTTCTTTCCATCCTCCTAGGAAATCCCAAAGACATGCATATTACGTCACAAGATTGTAAGTGGTCCTTATGGTTCCTCCAAGATGGCTTTGTAGAAGAGGAAAAGAGCACAGAGACAAACAGCACTTCACCCCTTGAACTGGGGAGATCATAATCCTTGCAGATTATTTAAAAATTAAATTAGAGGAAGGCTGTTCTTTTGTGATCAGCTGGAACTATAAAGCAAACCACCACTTAAATAAGTGAGTTTAAGGGATTTTAAACACAGCAAAGCCATTCCCATGGTCAACTTCTGCCAAAACTGCAGCCTGCAGCCCTGCTTTCCTTTCCCACCTGCAGTCACATAATGCCCTTGTACTGATGCTTGCTAGATCCTACCACAAGCTGGTTCAAAAATCAGAGCTGACACCCTGCCTACCAGAAAATGCAAGCCACATTTTGTTAGCTTAGCATCCTTGCACCATGTAGTCAGAAAAATGCAAGTACAAGAGAGAATGTGGGACCACATGTCTACAGTATGGAATAGGAGAAAGTCAAGGTGTCCATTCTGGTCGTAGTCACCGCCTCTGCTAAAGCTGGATCACAAGACCGAAAGCTATACCTTTCTGCCTTCTGTTCCCCTTTAGTGATTGATTTTTGCATAGGCTTTCCCCATTGGATAAGGAATCATTTAACGTTTGCATCTATAGTTAAACTCCTCTTCAGTCAGTTTAAGCCACCTTTCTCCCACGTAAAATTAAGGACTGCTTTGTGTCTTGCAGACCATAGACTTTCTACATCTGGCTTCCTTCACCAACAGAAGAAGATGAGCTGCCATCAGAGGACTTTGAGAATCTTTATATACAGTTCCTTCCAGCATTCCACAAATGAGAGAGAACAACTACTGCTTGGACAGTCAATTACTCCTTCCCCCTGCTCCTCAGACCTCTAAAGTACATTGATAAGGAGTGCACCAATAATACTGAAGGTCTTTGTTGGAAATTCGGCTGATTTCTAATACACCCTTGTATATATGTCTGCCACTGTAGCAAATTACCAAGATATCATCAGAGCAGACCGAATGTAAAATTTTCTGTATCTCTGTCTTCAGCAGTTGTAATAAACCTGCATATCCTTCAGAAGGGTAAGGCCATACCAGCAGGGGCAGCTCCAGAATTTGTTTATCAGCATTAAGAGTTTGGTAGAAAACATTCTGAATAATGACTGATGATATGACAAGTGTATTTGTGCAAGTACTTTGTTCCCACAAGTTCTGTCTCTAACCACATCCCAGCACAGCATTAGCAGTGTCTGCCTTTTCCTTTATTATTCGAGTTCAGTCACTCTTCCCATTTGTATAGTCATCCTAGAGTTCATAATTAAAGAATCCCATGTAAAGGAAAAATACCTTCTGCTATAAGTAAATTCTCCCTCTGCTCTGCAAGCATCATAATAAATCAACATTCTGAAATTTGTTCAAATGACGACAAGTCTTTCAGCTTAAAGTCTGGTAACGGTCCTTCAAATTCAAAGCACATAAGCAATAATAAGAAATAATTTAAAGGAATGGTAAGAGGAAGAAAAAGAAAACTTCCCTGGAAAAAATAGTGACCGTAATATAAACTTCTATCAACAGCAAGGCAGAGTCTGCATGTTAACAAGTGAGCAAAGCACACTGCCTTTCTCCTGATGTATCTCGCTGTGTGTTGCAAGGATGAAGGTCCCCGACTCCTGCTTCCTAAATGGCAAAACTTCCACTGGTGACTTCAATTCTGCAAGGACCTAGAGTGCATCTGCCAGATCTCAGCTTTAAAGACAGGAATCAAGCCATGGGCAGCAGATAAATACTGTAGAAACTTGAGGTGGATCTGTCATCAAATTTTCCTGTAGACAAAGTAATTAGAAACTAACTTTCACATAAAACATTAACCAAGATTGGTCTTTTTTCCATTCTAGAACTAAGCCCTAAGAAGGCAAACACCTGTCAAAGGACTTGTGATAAAATCCTCAGAATTAGCACAGCATGGAAATGCAGCATATTAGCAACATTATGCAGTGAAAACGGAAAACTAGAGTGCAAGAACTAAAAGTAATTCCCCACACAACACGGCAGTCACTTCAAGATTAAAGACTTTTGGGTCACAGACATTCTTGTTTGTGCTGATTCATCCACACATCACATCATGTCTGACTCTTTTCTTCCCAATTAAAGAAAATCCAATTTTATTATCTGATTATTTTTCTGGCAAGGACGCTGAGTTTTCCTCACGCACTTCTTAAAAAGAGGTTCTTTAACAGCTGGACATCCAACAGAAATGACATCATTCTTTACATCTGCAGCATCAAAACAAGACAGAAAAAAACTTTGAGTGCAATGAATACTTTTGACAAAAGGTCCTACATAGGAAATGGGACACAGAATTGTTCTGGGAATCTTTAATATGTGTCTCTCAGAGGAAAGCCGAACTAACTTTTGGAGAAGGATGAAGTAGACTTACAATTTTCTTGTGGCTGTGCTATAACTAAAGTTATTCTTGCCAGGCTAATTTATACTCACTAAAAGCTTCTGCTTTCCTGTTTGGCTGCATGAGGAATTTGACAGCAGAACGGAAGAAGTTTTTCCAGTATCCTGGGTAATTCTTGCTCTTTCTACCCATCACTGAAATCATTCTTTGCATTAGTGTGGTTTTCAGCTGCACTTCATATCTGAAAGCAGAGCTCTTAACAGTTGACAAAATAGATTTCGAAGCATTGTGAATAATGCTACAGGCACAGCAATAAATCATCATGCCAGTAAAGGGTAAAGTAAAAAAAAAGACTTTTGTACTTCTAAGAAACTCAAATTGTAGAATTTTTTGTATATTTTAGGCACTCTGGCAAGTACTTCACTTTCTGCACTATCCCTCGTGCTGCCCTGACAAACCAGGTACTTTTAGGGTCTGTGCAAATCTCTTTGTGTCTCCACAAGTTCTGCCAGAGAAGCAGAGAAGAGGCATCTGCATGACTTCCTGATAAGCTGTCAGCTCCTGCTTCCTAAATGGCACCATTTAGCACAACAGCATTAGGTGACTTTTGGAAGCAAGATAACGAATCTAGTTTGCTTTCCTCAGGAGTTTTAGGGGGTTTCTTTTGTTTGTTTTGGGTACTGTTTTGTTTCTTTATTTCTGGTTGTTTCTGTAGCTTGTAAGAACAAACTAGAGAAGAGGAATAATTGTGATTACAAGGGATGTTCCCCAATTGGACTGGTCTTTCTCACATTTACTTGAAAAGTATTTATACTTCTTTACATGTGCCTGCACACACAAGAACACACTGTAATAACCAACAGGATACTTCGGATTCTGAAGAACTGCAAGGGGCTTTAGAAAGAGCCATGTCCTTCCTGTGGCAGCCACTGGCAGCAGCAGTCAGGAACAACTGAACTGCAGCTAGTTGGTTCTGGTTAATGTAAATCTGAGTCCTCTGGAAACCCCCACAAACAGCATCAGATAAACTCGTAGGATAGGTCAGCCACAAAGATCACTTACTGCCCCACATTCTGCCTGAAGCTTTCTCTTTTCCTGGTATCCTAACAGTTACCCAGGCTGACAGCTGGGGTGTAAGGGCCTTTGGTTTCTGTTGTGGGAGAGGGAGGTTAGGGAAGGAGGAGCAGGAACGTCAAGGACTGCAGCTGCGTGATGAGCACTATTGCCGCTTAAGCCACACATCCAGCAAGCTGAGCTTTCAATATTCTTTTGTCCCAAATGTCAGAGGACATTGTTCCAGATGGACAGCAAGCCAGCTGTCCCATGTACTCATTTCAGGGTCAGGCTGCCCTGTGAGCTGCTGTCACAGGCTCAGGACGACCTGGGATTGAGCTCTACAAATATCAGTTTTTTCTGTCCTCCCCATTCACCTGACAGTTTCCTTGATGAGCTGACAAAGTCGCTTGAAAATAAAGCAGTTATGCTCATATGTAGATGCTGATCATAGCATAAAAAACTAAATAGTTTTTTATTATTCTGCCCTCAATCAGGAAAAAATGAAGAGTTTTTTTCTAGAATGAACAATTCTACAATATCCAAATTGTTAGCGTAAATATAAAAGTTATAGGAAAGCACTGTAACATTGCAATGAAGCATTTCTTTCTTTATCACGTTAACCTTTTAAGGAGCCAGAACAGAACAATATTCTGATTTTTTCTTTTTGTAATTTTCCACAGCAAATATTAACTCATGAATAAGAGAGCAGCAAAACATTTTGATTTTACAGCAGCAGCACTTTACATGGGAAAGCATTCCGTAACAGAATTGTCAGTCACCTCAGCAGGTCTTGCTTCCCTTCCAGCCAATTATTGCACTGTATTTATATATTTTCTGGAATTGCTCTTTCTTAGACTGTGAGCCATTATGTCATAGTGAGGCCACCTCTTCGGAACTGGTGACAGGCTTCATGAGCAGCTCTTCAGGGATGTAGGACTCCAAAAGAGCCATCTTTGGTGGACTGCAAATCCCACTTGGACACACCTTGAATAATTCTTAGATTTAGGGACAAAAAGTCCTGCCCTTCTTACTAATCATCCGTCACAATACCTGTAATGGCAAACGAAGCTTAGGTAGCTTGTAAGAAGCTCTTTTGCTCCACAGATCAGAATTCATGCTCCTCCTGCAGAAAGCTTCAGCCTGGTCATCACCACACCTATCAGGCCTTCAGAATTTTCTCATCTCCAGCTGCATCCAAATTTACCTAAGCCCATCCCCCTACTGCTGTCCTTGGTTCAGGAAAAGAAGGAAAAGTTCTTCCCCTGGGTAACAACAAAGAAGGATGTTTTGC